CAAAATTCTGATTTTTTTCTCAAAATTCTGACTTTTTCTAAAAAAAAATACTTTTTCTCAAAATCTCAAAAATCTGATTTATTCATAAAAATCAGACTTTTTCTCAAAATCGCAAAATTCTAACTTTTTCTCAAAATTCTGTCTTTTTCTGAATACTTAAAAATGTTAATAATCCCTGGTCCCCGGCTTGAGCTTCAATCTCAGGATCCATGTATTTATGATCCTCTCCAGAATGGAAGTAGTCATCACATACAGAGCATCAACTAGTTCCTGAACAGTGTCCTTCACATGCTGATATCCAAGAGAGGGAGTTACACAGTCACAAGATGGAGGAATAGAAAGCAGTATTCAATGTTTACTTCAGATTAGCTCCACGTCAGAAATGATCATGCTTGTCATATGTCTATCTCCATAGAGGCTGAATCATCATGTTAATCACATAGCTATTATATGCCTCAAACAGTCCTGATGCTCTTCTAGGTAATCATACATCCTGTCATGTACACAGCTACAGTTGGGATACCTTTGTTATCATGTTACTCTCATGTTGGAAGAGGACATTCAGTGTTTTCCCAACAGATCTTTACCAAGACAACAAACGGATGATTTTCCAGTCGTTGGAAGCAGTTTGTTTTTATTAAAGAGTTTGTACTGAACTTTTTAAAGAACATCCATAAACATTCATCTGTTTGCATTTTGCAAATCTATATCTATATATCATATTCCATTTACTTGTATAGAGACTCTTCTTGCACTATTTCTATTTTATTTGTATTTACTTGCACATCTCAAAACATTCTCTTGCACTATTTTATCTGTTTTATTTGTTCCATGTCCTATATATATTCATGTTGCTCTGTTGGAGGAGCCTGTGACTTCAGTGTTTCATTGCCATATCTACACTGTAGCTGCTGAGCACATGATGATAAAGCCTTGAATATTGAATCTACAAGGTTGAATCTGCCAGTGAGTTGTAGCTGTTAGCATCTGCCATGGCTGGTTAGATGATATGCTCTTAATAAAATAGAATTGGGAGGGATGAACCCCTCTTTAATGGTCTCACATGCAGAGCACACAGCTCACACAGTGAAATGTGTTCTCTGCTTTTAACCCATCCTAGTACCAGGAGTCTAGCACTAGGAGCAGTGGGCAGCTATTGTACAGCCCCCTCTTCCTGTCCTCTTTCCATTCACCTCTGACCCTATTTATACACCGAGTGCAGCAAAAATGGCTCCGACAAGATAGACTGATAAAATGCTAATTTCTGACACGGTGTTGCAGGGCTGTGAAATGCCGGTAGTTTGTTTTTCATCCGGGTTATAAATCAGATATCCTTTATTTCTTCCCTCATCATCTTGCCGTTTCCTTTCCTCGTGTTTGATTGTACTTTATGACTTGTCTCTGGATAAATGGTAATGTAATGTTCCTGTGTTTCCTCTCCCTGCCTCAGTCTCTGGTGGCGTTTCCCAAACTGAAGCGTCAGGTTGTGTCCTACGACCCGCCGGTGACGTCGCCTAAAGACTTTGACGAGGGAACGCTGTTCTACGTCAACCAGGAGTTCTCCCTCATGTGAGCAACACCAGATAATGTCATATGTAACACAGTGTTTCTCAAACGTTTTCATACCAAGGACCACTTAACCAATACAAAAACACACACGGACCACCTGACTCTACAAATATCCAGAAACAAGCGGCCTGCTTAGCACTCCAACAGTATATAACAAATTACAGCCTATTAATGACAGCCTTCTCTACATCGCCTCGTTCACACTTTAAATCAACAATACAAATACAACTACACATTCTACAAGCATCGTTCATATGCCATTTTAAAATGCTCACAGGTTTTACACCTCTTATGAAATGTAGACTACATTTATTACGGAGATTATGTCCGAGCCAACAGACTCACAGACAGATCGTTGGTTACTGAGAGAAATTCAAAAATACACAGCATTTAGTACGACACAAACAAACAAATCACATCATTAACTGGTCAGTTTCTGCCTGCAATGCCTGACAGTATTTTACATTCATTTACTTTTATATACATTTTCCATCATGACAAACAATTGGTCCGTCCTACATGAGATTACAAGACACCTTTACATATATATAACATACGGAAATTAAAGTGTCTTAGCAGCAACAGGAATAAGATTGAAAAATAGGATAGGGACAGGTAAGAGTTCACATAATTATAATAAGTATAATACACATTTAAGGAATAATAAAAACATCCCAGATCAGCTGTTCCCATAAAAAGCTGTAAAATATAAACAGATTATGTTTTTTCCGCCTGATTTCTCATTGTTTGTCGATGTTTTTTGTTTCCGTCCACAGAAAGAACTCGAAGGTCCAGAAGAGAGGGAAGATCAATCTGATTGGTCGACTGCAGCTCACCACGGAGCGAATGAGAGAAGAGGAGAACGAGGGCATCGTGCAGCTCAGGATACTGAGGACACAGGTAACGTGTGACGCGTGTGTGATAACAATAACAATAATGCAACAAAAAAAAATACAATAAATAACGACAATAATAAAATGTGTGAACAAAATTATAAAATAGTAACAAAAAATTATGAAAATAAATAAATAACAAAATTAATAAATACAATAAAAAAAAAATACAAATAATAAATAAACAAATACCTGCATCGTAACCAGTAAAAATACAGATTTGTTTGTAAATAAATTACTTAATGTAAATGATTACATTTATTGACAGTTTTCTGTCTTTAAATTAATACTGAAAACATACAATTTAATATTCTCTCCTTAAGCCAAAATCAGTAATTTGACCTCTCTTAATTCATCAAAACTGTCTGAGTTGGTCTTTCATTTTCCGTCAAGAGACTGACAGAGTGAAAAAGGTTTATAAAAAAAGAATAAACACTTTATTTCTTCTTTTAGTGTTTACTTTGACCACTTTCCTAACACCAGAAAGGCATGCGTCCACACGGAGACGATATATCCGCTAAAGTTCTTTATCGTATAGACGGTTCGTCCACACGAAGCCGAAACGGAGCCGCGGCTTCGGAGCCCCAAACCGATAAACGTTGAAACCGGCTCCCAAAGTGGGTAGGTCTGGAGACGACACGCTTCTCCGTTTGTACTCATCTTTTCCTGAATCGATGACGCCATAGCCCCGCCTCTCCCCACCTCTGCTGCTCACCCCCGCGTCATTGCTGATGCGTTTCGCCAACAACAACAACAATGGTGGATCACAGGGTTGCGTTCGTGCTCCATACGATACCTTCTTGCACGAATATCCGCCATCTTCTACCTTGTTTGTTTATTTGTTTATGCCTTATGCCCATGCTCGGGGGTCTTCTTCGCTGCTTTTGGTGTATTTTGTGGCGGAAGTACAGCGCCACTTACAGGCCCGGCATATGTACTACAGCGTCTCCAGCGGTTTCGTGTGGACGGACACATTTCTTGAGCCGATTCCGTGTGGACGGAAGACGTTTTTGAAATCGATTTCGAACCGTTTCGTCTCCGTGTGGACGGGGCCTTAATCACTTATTTTTAGAAGGTTTTTTCTTTTTAAATCCTGCGCTAGTTTCGCTGGTATTTCCATGCACTTTTGCCCATTTTATTCATATTTGTCCCCACCTCTCTGTTTGTCCCCCCCCCCTCTCCAGGAGGCCATAATCCAGATCATGAAGATGAGGAAGCGCATCAACAACGCTCAGCTGCAGACGGAGCTGGTGGAGATCCTGAAGAACATGTTTTTACCACAGAAGAAGATGATCAAGGAGCAGATCGAGTGGCTCATCGACCACAAGTACATCAAGCGGGACGAGACAGACCTAAACACCTTCATCTACATGGCGTAGCACTTAAATTCTGGCTTTAACTTCTGCTAAACCCCGGACCTGATGGACTCTTCCAGGATCCCCGTCCTCTATTTAAAAATAAGGCATACGTTTTATTTAAAGAGTAAAAAGACTTCCTGCCTTACGGTTGTACAGAGATGACAGAAGTGGTTTTTAATGCGTCTGCTGTCCAGATGAAGCTGTCTAATGTTTGTTTTTCGTCGTCTGGATCGCTGCTAAAACACTCCCCGATCAATGCAAGTCTTCAAAGGCATGTTGGCAGGAAAGAGGAGGAACTCAAAATACCTGCAGAACACCTGAACCCTGAACTCCTCACCGTGCTAACTGCAGATAATCCCGACGTTAAGTGTGTACAAAGAGCCACGTAAACACTTCACAGGTTGCAGAACTGAACAGCAACGAATCATAACTCCTCCTTCTGTTGCCGGGTAGAAAAAGAAATTATGAAATCAGTAAAAGGGGAAACTCGAGCTTGTGTTTGTGCGACTGCTCTCTCTTTTCTTTCTGCAGGAAACCCGGGAAAAGGAGGCAGAGGTCAGTATTACACATGGTAAATACTACAGTACAAAGCTTTAGGAGAGTGAACCATGAGATGTGAATAATAAAACGATTAAATAAAACAGCACCTTATTATAAAAACGTGCAGGCCTGTCATTTATCCCAGCTGTCTCTACTTTAAAGAGTCCTCTCCTGCCGATGTTCAGGTGTATATCAGTATGTAGTGTCTCTACTTTAAAGAGTCCTCTCCTGCTGATGTTCAGGTGTATATCAGTATGTGGTGTCTCTACTTTAAAGAGTCCTCTCCTGCTGATGTTCAGGTGTATATCAGTATGTAGTGTCTCTACTTTAAAGAGTCCTCTCCTGCTGATGTTCAGGTGTATATCAGTATGTAGTGTCTCTACTTTAAAGAGTCCTCTCCTGCTGATGTTAATGTTCATATCAGTATGTAGTGTCTCTACTGGGACATGTCTCCATGCTTTAAGAGCCCAGGCTGCTCCGATTGGTTAGCTGGCCTGGCCACCTCTGTTGTGATTGGTCAACCGCTTAGAGATGTCCCGCCCCCTTAGCCAATCGCGTACAATGTGTTAATAGGAGCACAACATTTCCGTAGTGTGTTGCCGGGTCTGAATCAGAAGAAGACCACAAACCAAAACGTGTCTTTTATGAACTTTTGAAGTATCTCTGAATATAATTTGTATTATTCAATAGATTTCATAGCATGAGATGATGTAGAGATTTGATTTTGTGTGATGAAAGACTTATTAACAATACATTTTTGACTGTTATCGTCCTCCTCTTGAAGATCTGAGAAATGTTTAATGGTGACCAGTAGATGGCGCCAGAGCTGCAGGAAATATTAGTTTTGAAGAAGTAATGAGCAGGTTTGATTCAGTTGGCGAAGCGACACAACAGTCGGGTCCGTCTGTGTCTGTTCTTTGGTGTCAGCTTGGTGTGTCCCTACCTTTACAGGTAAAATCAAGCTAAATAGCTCTTACTGTCTCTACTCTTATATTTTATTAAATTGTTGAACACACCACCAGGTAAGTACGGTTTTTTAGCATTTTTCTACATGCGATGCAGCTCAAAGTGCTTTAACAACACAATATAAACACAAAATAAGGAATCAATTTATGTCAAACGTCTTTTAACACATGCAGGATATATGAACATGATATATAAGATATCACGGAGAACAAGGAGGTAGAAAAGGTAAGATAATTAATAAAGAAATAAAAACATAACAGATAACCCACATATGAAAAAATAAATAAATTCAAATAAATAATACATAAAATTAAAGGGCGATACTAATTCTAAAAAAATAGTCTTCTGTGATTTAAAAATGTCCACTTCTCATACACTATGATTGATTGATTGATGTTGAATTGCCTCGGAAATATTAACACTACAAAAGTATATATTTGTCTGTCAGTCAACACTGAGTCAATTGAAATAATGTACATGTTTTTTAACCTTTAAGACAAGAATGGGATGAGAAAATGTGTTTTTGTCTCCAAAAGCTTTATAATTTCTTAAACAGATATGTAAATTAAAATGTCATTATATCGTGTCAGGTGTTACGTTTACAGGCCGTGTTGAAACTAATCTGTAATTATTAGGTGGATATTATTATATTTGTAATTGCAGCATCCTCTTATGTGTTACCAAGGGGATTACAGCAGGCCTTCAGCTCTGCGCATGCGCATTCCGCAGCATGCATCCCTCCTGAGCTCCTGTTCTGATTGGAACTCTATGCACCTTCAAAATAAAATATGTTAAAAAAATATGTTAAATAACAAACGACAAAGTCATTCAAACTAGCTGCACCTTTACCAGCTTTGAGAACACTTTAATGATCAATCATTATAAAACATATCATATATATTATTCTGAAATGGACCAATCTGCACAATGACTACTTTTACTGTCGCTACTTTCACTATATTTTGATGATAATACTTTTCTACTTTTACTTGAGGAACATTTTGAATGCAGGACTTTTACTGAAACAGAGTATTCCTACACTCTGGTACTTCTACTTTTACTTAAGTACAAGATCTGAGTACTTCTACTTTTACTCAAGTACAAGATCTGAGTATTTCTACTTTTGCTCAAGTACAATATCTGAGTACTTCTACTTTTACTTCAAGATCTGAGTACTTCTACTTGTATTACAAGATGTGAGTACTTCTACTTTTACTCAAGTACAGGATCTGAGTACTTCCCCCACCTATGAGGAAAAAAAACAAGTTTTATTTTGAAAATCCTGAGCACCGAGCTTCCTGTTGTGGCCTCAGCTTGACTCTCCCCGGGGTGCAGAGAGGAGAGAGTGGAGCTCCAGGAGAGAGAGAGAGAGCGAGGAGAGGAGTCCCTGCAGCCCCAGGAGAGAGAGCCCCGGCCCGGCTGGACCCCCGGAGGAACACCCACAGAGAACCGCGTTTCCAGGGGAGAGGCCTCACACAAGGTAACCGACAATCACGCGTCTTTTCCCGGGGAAGGCAGGTGCTTTTCGCGGGCTGCTGGAGATGGAGAGGCGGCGGTCTGCAGAAATCTCTGGAGATCCCAGATCCTATTACTTACTTACCGCTGATGTGGCCTTATGTGGCCTCTGTGGGTCCGACAGTCAGACTGTGGAGGAAATATCTACTAAAGCAGCGAAACGCGTGGTGAAATGTGGGTTTTTTTGCGCACATATTGCGGCATAAATCTGATCTCAGAGCTGCTGTGCTGCATCTGTTTGTAGCTGAGCTGCTCAGCTTTGTTGTCATCTTCTCTAGATTACATATGCAGTCAAGTTGCACGGCTAGGTGGAGCTTTCCTTATATTATATTACATTTTAATCTTGTTTTCATTATAGCAATGCACCCCAAAGATAAAGCCACAGTTGCCATGAAGCTATGAGGGAGCGATATCCCATAATAACAACAGTGGGGCATTCAGGAGCAGCTATATCTTCAAGCTCTTCATTTGGAAACAAGACATTACATTTCCTTTATTCGTCCCACAGAGGGAACATGTTTACAGCAAAAGAGACGAGAAAAACATAATATTTAAAATAAAAAGTACAGAAGTACACATTCAGGTAGATAAGAAGCAGCAGTATTTATAAAATAAAATAAGTATCATGTAGAATGAAGTGTTGAAGATAACAGCAGTAAAACGATGTATTGCATATCGAGTTACATACAGGTTTGTGTTACAGTAATAGATGGTCTAACTAAGGAATAAAGCAGTATTCTCATTAAACAGTTGCAGGCTGTGTAAGTTGTAATGCCTGCTTCTCTGCTGCTGTGTTCCTCTGCATGAGGAGAGATACATTAATAATTGTAAAGGAGTGTATTTTTGTGCAGAGCACTCAGAGTGTCAGCTCCACTTTGGGCTGCTGGCCAAATAAAAAAAAGGTCCATAAAGTGAGGATTCAACAGGGGGGAAATCACTGGAGACTCTCAGATCTGCTGATTTCATAACTGATTTGACTCATACTACTATGTATACGTTTATCTCCACATATACACTGTAGATTGGCTGACGGTGCTAAAATATCAGCAGTAATATCATTTTACACTTATCTTTTTCAATGTAAAGGCTTGTCAACCTAGTGGGCTTTTTTAAAATATAAAATTCTAAAGATCTCATCCGAATGTTCTGCCTATTTTGGCTTTAGATCAAAAAACACTTCTCTACCAATCACTGTTATCAGGACAATAATATCTGCTTAGCAACCACATTTCTGTTATTTTTCTGTCAAAGCCGCCCTTAACTTAAACTAATCAGTGTGAGCACATTGCAGATAACTGGGCGAAAATATCGTTGGTTAAATGTATTAAATGTAAAATAATCACGCAGATAAAAGCCCTGAAAACTCACTGTTGCTTTCAATGTGTTTGAGCTCTGGGAAAATGATGCATTACTGTTAATATTATTATAGGAGCGAGAGTGAGTGGAGGAGATACTGCAGAGAGGAAATCACGATGCTGGAGGAAGGGAGGCCGGGATATCCCTCCTCCTCCCTGATGAAGGAGGGAGGGATGGTTTGGTGCACTCCCTTCCTCCCTTCCTCCCTTCCTCCCATCCTCCTCCCTTCCTCCCTTCCTCCCTTCCTCCCTTCCTCCCTACTGGTGCATTACTGCTCCCTCTCTGAGTTTTATTCAGTGTGTCAGCAGCAGACTCAGGACTGATCTCTGACCAGAACTCTGCTGTGATCATCGTGGTTGTTTGTTTTTCATGTATTGTCTCTTGATGTTACACATGGAGCTGCTGTGATGCAAGGAGCATTTCAGGCTTCATCTGACCATTAAAGTATTATCGTATCGTATCATTAACGATGCTCACTGTTTCAGAATCAGGAAACAACAAGTCGCTGGAATCATTATTAGCCTCTGCTATTTGAGCTGGGCGCTAACGAAGTATATCTCAATTTTCTTGAGCGATACACCATGTTATCAATATTACAACAACAATAGGCTGGAAACCCTTGCCTATTGTGTTTATATAGTGTACCCTGAGCAAAAGAAAATATGAAAGGAAGCATTGAGTCGCCTTTCCTATCATCCAGACTCTGGAAATGCCATAATATACCATAATACCAGCTCCTATTATGGTATTTCCCTCCGTTAGCAACCTTTTTAAGCAAAATGTACAATTTGACCGCAGCCTCTGGTAGTTCCTTTCAGTGCTGAAACTCAGGAGCTGTCCGTGGTGCTGAAAAGACTCAAATCGTTTTGAAGAGCCCCTCAGGTTATATTTAATCTTCTCCAAGTTCAGGTACATCATTAGATCTTTAAGCCATGGAGATGCTTTAGGTGGTATCGAAGATTTCCATTCTAGGAGTATTCTTCTACGTGCTAAGATAGATGCAAAGGCTATACTGTCTTTAGTTTTCCTCCTCATCATTCGGTGGCCAGGTAGTACTCCAAAAATGTCTGTCTTCTTCTACTGTTCCGTTCACTTGTTCTCTTTTTCTTTTCTAAGGACAGTTTAGCCATCACGAATACAACATTTTGAGGTCTCCTTAGCAACGGTCTGTTAACAAAAAATAACAGATCTCTGGAGTATCCAAATTGACCAATCGGAGTCTAGCATTCAACTAATCCGTGTCATAATAAGATTTAACATTGGATTTGTTTTTGGGTGGCTTTAAACACGGCTCTTTGTGTTGAAAATAAAGATATATATATTTACTTTAGCTGTCCATACTTTAGGCTCTTTTTCCGTCACTTCTTGAAGTGCAGTGTGTGATTTTTTTAACATTAAACATCACTGATTTCTCCAAGTCCTCCCACACCAAAACCCACCATGTGCATTTGTTTTAGAGAGAGGTGTTCTTGTTCGCCCTCCGTCAGTTTAATGGCGGTGTTTTGCTCCATCAGACCTGTGGTGCCACGGTCCATTTGCCAGCTGAGAATTAGCATTCGACAGCAGCAGCACGAGATTAATGTTGACATCTGCTGACCAGCAGGTACTCTCTACTCTCTCTGGAGATACAGCACTCTGCAGTCTGCAGCGCCGCTCATATCAGGACGTTTGTTCCTGTGTGAGGTTCTTTATTTAACGTTATTGAAGGATTATGTAATTACAGAACAGGTAAGACAGAAACAGTTTCACATACTGTATACAGGTAAAAGACAATTTACAAAGCAAGACAAAAAATGGAAAAATACAACACAATAAAGATAATTATGATTATATATATTTTTTATTTCAACTAAAAACAATTACATTAACATTTACATTTTAATAATAATTATAATAATACATTAAGCTAATACAAATAGATGAAAACAATCCTGTGTGAGGTCTAATTCCAGCACATAGTTGTTTATTAAAGCCCAGGCTTCTCTCACGGCTCTGTAAACAAGCAGCAGAGAGTCAGCTCTATGAATTATTTGTTATCCTGGATCAACAAGTGTAGCGATGATTAATACACTCGGCTAGAAACAGTGCATCACGCTCTGTATGATAATGTGAGCAGCAGCACTTTGTTTCCTTCCAGTCACTCCGAACAGTATTGATCATCGATTGAACGGCTTCTGTTTGATTCATGACTCCATTGCAGAGCAGAAAAGTAACTAAGGACGTTTATTAGGGACTCTACTTTAAAGAGTCCTCTCCTGCTGATGTTCAGGTGTATATCAGTATGTAGTGTCTCTACTTTAAAGAGTCCTCTCCTGCTGATGTTCAGGTGTATATCAGTATGTAGTGTCTCTACTTTAAAGAGTCCTCTCCTGCTGATGTTCAGGTGTATATCAGTATGTAGTGTCTCTACTTTAAAGAGTCCTCTCCTGCTGATGTTCAGGTGTATATCAGTATGTAGTGTGTCTACTTTAAGGAGTCCTCTCCTGCTGATGTTCAGGTGTATATCAGTATGTAGTGTCTCTACTTTAAAGAGTCCTCTCCTGCTGATGTTCAGGTGTATATCAGTATGTAGTGTCTCTACTTTAAAGAGTCCTCTCCTGCTGATGTTCAGGTGTATATCAGTATGTAGTGTCTCTACTTTAAAGAGTCCTCTCCTGCTGATGTTCAGGTGTATATCAGTATGTAGTGCCTCTACTTTAAAGAGTCCTCTCCTGCTGATGTTCAGGTGTATATCAGTATGTAGTGCCTCTACTTTAAAGAGTCCTCTCCTGCTGATGTTCAGGTGTATATCAGTATGTAGTGCCTCTACTTTAAAGAGTCCTCTCTTGCTGATCTACAGTACATTTTGCTGAAAATTCTTCTGGACTTTTACTAAAGTGAGATATTAAATGTAGGACTTTTGCTTTGTATTTTGCTATTAATATAATGGTACTTATACTAAAGTTAAGGATCTGAGTAGTTCTTCCATCTCTACCAATGGCTTCGGGGAGTCGTCCTCCTTGTTTTTTGGTCATATTTGAGCATGTTTCTAAATTCAGACTTCATTTAGTTTCACTTTCCTCAAACACAATCTGCCAGGAACAGTTGTGATGTGTAATTGAGATTTTAAATACCCGTCATTAAAGTGCTGCTGCCACTTGTTTACTTACATTTGTTGATCAAATAACTCTGTGAGATGAATGATGGGAACATCCACACTTTTCCAGCCGTCTTGTCTCTGTCTTTATTGCCCATTATTCTGGGAAATGTCGTAAACAAACGAGCCACTTGTATCCACTTTATGACCAGTAGATTCCTCTTCCTGTGGTTTCTGCAGTCACATTGTTCTGGTGGTTCGGACCCTTTTTAATGTATTTTCACTGGAGATGCATCGATCGATCGGCAGATTCCTATCAGTCTCAGATAAAGCAGATTCCCATCGTTGAAACACAAGACAGCCAACCACACACACTGTGTAATTCATTTATTTGTAATTCATTCCCATGCATGATGCTCAGAGTAATCAAGGACACACACCTGTTACATTTTGTCAGTAAAGTGGTGCAGTTATGATGTACTTTTGAAGGCAGCATCTCCCTGGTCCAATGGGATTTCTCCATGTGATTTTGG